CGCGCGCGGCGGGACCCCCGCACCACGTCCGACGCGCGCGCGCGCGCCCTGGGTTGCATCGGAGCCGCGGCGCGCGCGCGCGCGCCGCGAGCGGGAGAGAGAGAGAGAGAGAGAGAGAGATTTTTTGGCGGTCGCGTTTCGGCATCCGGGACGCGGCCCACGCGCAGCGCCGACGACTGGAACTTGATCACGCGCCCGTCGCAGACGTGCACGTCGATCCACTTTGACGGCGGCTTGGGCAGGCCCACGACTTCGCCTGAACCGCACGTTGTTTCGAAAGCCGCTTGCAGTAGGCGCGCGCGGCCGCGTCCCCAATGCAACCCCGGGGGAGCGCGCGCGCGCGTCGGATGTGGTGCGGGGGTCCCGCCGCGAGCGCGCGGCATTGGGACGGGGTCCCCGGACTCACCGACGGAACCAACCAACTCAGGACATCGACTGAGCACGTTAGCCGTGTCGACGATGATGCACCGCTTACCCACGACCCACTCCGGCATTTTCAACGGTGTGGAGGGCGACTAGAGCGTGCCAACGGGCCCCCAATTGGGTCACCCGGTTGGGTCGTCTGGCAGGCACGCAACCAGGCGACCGCCAAGAGCCACTCTGTCACGCGGGCAAGTCCGGGGCAAGCGAGAGCCGAAATCGCGTATCTCAAGCAGGCACGACCCCCGGCCAACACGGTTGAAACCGGGCTGTGTTTCAGCCCACAATCCGGCATCCTCGAGGGGCGTCGAGCAAGCAGGCGATTGTCTGGGAGGCCCCTCGCCCAGGCGCGGTGGACTCCTTGGTCACGCTACCGCGGGGCGAGCGTGCGCAGCGCCGTACCGCATGGCCGGACGCAGCCTCGGGGGTGCTACCAGCTTGCATGCTCGCGATCCGAGCGAGCAACCCGTACACACCGTAACTGCAGGGCTCCAAGAATCCACGGGGGACGCCTCGGGGGGCCGCCTCCAACCCCGTCAAGAATACTTCAACTTTGTTACGTTACCTTTTGTAGCAAAAGCTCGAGCACCGCGCCGCCCGCGATGTCCCGTCCCCGCTCGCGCGGCTCGAGCCTCCAGGCGGACGTCCCGTCGGAGCTGCGCATCTTCAGCCACCACCAGTTCGACGCCCAGGAGTACGTGACGAGCGTCTGCCGCGAGGCGTCGACGTCCGAGGGCTTCTTGCTGGCCGAGCGCAAGCTCGAGGCGCTGCGCGCGTCCGCCGAGGCGCGGCTCCTGCGCGGCGCCGACGCGGAGACCTACGGCAACGCGCGGCGGAAGATCGAGGCCACCGTCGCCGAGGTCGGCGCCGCGCGGGCCGCGCTCCGCGCGACGCTCGCGGCGCTCGACGCGTACGAAGCGACCATCCCCCGATGAGATTTAAAAGTCGCCGTCCAGGCAGGCGCGGAGGTAGGCCTCGCGCAGCTTGGGGAGCTCGCAGTAGAGGTCCCGGGCGACGTCGAAGCCCGCGCGCGTCGTCGCGGGCGCGGACGACGCCGCCATCCGCGCGCCGTGGAGGTGCGCGTGGGGCTCGCCGGCGGCGGACGTGATCGCCGGCCAGGTGTCGTCGTGGAAGCCGCGCTTCGCGAAGTCGATCCACAGGTCCTGCGGAAGA